CATGTTCTAAGAAAATGCCTAGCATTGAGATGTAGATGAATCTCTAACAGTGCTCACTAGTTGATTCCAGATGTCCTAAAAATTGAAAACACTGGCGTCCTGGTGTCCTACTTCAGTCATTCATAAATTCATACGAGAGCACATTTGTGCACATGTTATGCTAGGTGCTTGGAATACAATGAAGAACCATTAAGTTCCCATCTTGGAGAAGCTTGCATTTTTCTGGAGTAAATTTGAAGCAAAATTATAACTCATGTAGAATCCAGAACTCCTTTTCTATATTCTATACAGGGTACCATGAAAACAGTCAGAAAGGGGTCAATAATTGCATTTGGAATTTCTGGGAGCAGATTCACCCAAAAGATGAAATTTGATCTGGACGTGGGCAGATGAGTAGATTTCCTGCATAGGAGACTTCAGGAGCTTTGCTGACATTTGAAGAATCATTAAGAGCTGGAGTGACTAGCACTTTTCACTTTAGATCATTAGCCATCACTTATATCAGAAAAAAAGGACTGAAACATATGAAGATAAATGCACCATGGTTATGGTGTCAAACACTGCTTGGTAGTGTCCATTTCCAGAATTTAGAATTCAGGAGATTACAGTGTTCTATTTATAGTTTCCAGGGTCTGCAGCCTGGAAAGGACTCAATAAAAATGTGTTGAATTGAATGGGTTTCAGAGATTCATAAGCACCACTCTTGGGGCTAACTAGAATTCAGTCTGATAAGGAGTGCTATGCCATTAGGTACATTTTCTGATGGAACAGAATCAATTTAGAAGAAAAAAGCAAGGGCAACATCACAAACCTCCCAGTAGCATTTGTTCTCTTTAGTGGCTCTCGGGAGGTAAGAGCCTCCTCTAACCCTATCCCTAACTCCTGTGCCAGGGTTAGAGAGAGATGTTTACCAATGATTTACATTCTCTCCACCCAGCCCTGCCCATTGTCCATGATGTAAAGCAGGGCCCCTAGCCTCCAGGCCATGGACTGGTACCTCCCACCAGGTCAGTGGCAGCCTTAGGTTAGACGAGATCAGAAGTAAAGTGCACAATAAATGTAACGTACTTTAATCACCCCTAAACCATTGCCCATCCCAGCCCATGGAAAAATTGTCTTCCATGAAACTGATCCTTGGTGCCAAAAAGGTTGGGGACTGCTGATAGAAAGTTGTCAGGAAAGGCCTCCCCAGGCTGGGACTGCACATCACAGCCCCCGTTACTTCTAGATGGGGCCACACGGCCAGTTCTTCCCACTGAATGAGTGGGGTTGGTGTGTGTCCCTGCCGGCCCTCCTGGCCCTCAGGCTGCCGACTGCCTGCACCTGCATTTCTCGTCCTGAAGACGGTCCTCCAGGGCTTGCTTTCCCATTCACATAAGCAGGTTAGAAGTCGGAAACTATCTTCCTCATCCTTCAAGTGAGAAAACTCTGAGCCCAGGATTTACAGTGTATCCCAGAATTTCCCAAACAAGATCAACCTCCGGTTGCCTGCAGTGGTGCCTTGATTGATAATATACCCTTGTTTGTTGATCTCCCTCCCTGTCTCACTCCCTCCACTGCCCTACCAGCCTTGAGACATACGTCTTAGAGTCAGACTCTGGGAAATGCAAAGTGAGATTATATGTTTTCTCCTAGATCTCATATTTTTTTTCTTGTTTCACTCTTTTGATTTATTGGAATACAATCTAGTAGTTTTCTAGGAAGAACCAACAGAGGGAACAATTATTTATTTTGATCCCATGTGTCAAAAAAGAGCCTTCACACTAGATTTATAATTTAGCTATCAGCATTAAGTGATCAGTATTATATACAATAATTAGGTAAAATTATAGCAATTTTCAAAATTATTTCCCTGCAATTTTAGAATATATTACACCACTGTTTTTCAGTTTCCAGTGTTGTTTCTGAAGCTTTTGGGATTCTGCCCCCACCACTTCCAGAGACAGAAACAGAGGAAGCAAAATGTATTATCTTTTCCACTGCCTTTGACTCCGCCAATATCTCCCAATGGTTAACAGGGGCTAATCAGAAATTTATGTGGCAAGGGAGTCAGGGTCACATGGCTTTGAGGTAGGAAAGTTGGAGACAGAGCTGAGAGTCTAAGAGCAAATAACATTATCTACACTTCTTATGTGCTAAGTAGGTACCAGGATTATACCTACATCATCTCATTTAATCCTCACAATGACCATTAAAAGCTTACATTTGAGAACTTCCTTGGTGGTTCAGTGGCTGAGACTCTGTGCTCCCAATGTAGGGGACCCAGCTGAGTTTGAGACAGGGAACTATAGCCTACATGCCACAACTAAGAAGTTCACATGCTGCAACTAAAGATTCCACATGCCACATTTAAAGACAAAGATTATGCAACTAAAGAACTCACAGGCTGCAACAAAGATAGAAAATCCTGGGTATGTGGTGCAGCCAAATAAATGAATAAATAAGAAGTTCAAGAAGCCCAGAGAGTCCCATACAGGATAAACCCAAGGTGAAACACACCAAGACATATATTAATCAAGCTAACAAAAATTAAACAGAAAGAAAAAATATTAAAGGCATCAAGGGAAAAGCAGCAAATAACATACAAGAGGATCCTCATAAGGATAACAGCTGATCTTTCAACAGAAACTCTGCAGGCCAGAAGGAAATGGCAGGATATACTTCAAGTGATGAAAGAGAAAAACCTACAACCCAGATTACTATACCCAGCAAGGATTTCATTCAGATTCCAAACAGAAGTCAAAAGCTTTAAAGACAAGCAAAAGCTGAGAGAACTCAGCACCACCAAACCAGCTCTTCAACAAATGCTAAAGGATCTTCTCTAGACAGAAAACATTTATAAAAATGAACCCAAAACAGTAAAGTAAATGGTGATGGGATCACAGTGAACAATAATTACCTTAAATGTAAATGGGTTAAATGCTCAAACCAAAAGACAAAGATTGGCTGAATGGATACAAAAACAAGACCCCTATATATATATTGTCTCCAAGAGACACACCTCAAACCTAGGGACACATACAGACTAAAGTGAGGGGCTGGAAAAAGATATTTCATGCAAATGGAGGCCAGAAGTAGCAATACTCATATCAGATAAAGTAGACTTTAAAATACAGACTGTTATAAGAGACAAAGAAGGACACTAATAATGATCAGGGGGTCAATCCAGTTATAAATATGCATTCACTCAGCATAGGAGCACTGCAATACATAAGGCAAATGCTAACAACTGTTAAAGAGGAAATTGACAGTAACACAATAATCGTGTGGGACTTTAACGCCCCACTCACACCAATGGACAGATCATCCAGACAGAAAATTAACAAGGAAACACAAGCTTTAAATGATACATTGGACCAGTTAAGCCTAATTGATATCCACAGGGCATTTCACCCCAAAACAATGGACTTCACCTTTTTCTCAAGTGCACATGGAACATTCTACAGGACAGATCACATTCTGGGTCACAAATCTAGCTGTGGTAAATTTTTAAAAATTGAAATCTTTTCAAGTGTCTTTTCTGATCATGATGCTATAAGATTAGGTGATTGCAGCCATGAAATTAAAAGATGCTTACTGCTTGGAAGGAAAGTTATGACCAACCTAGATAGCATATTAAAAAGCAGAGACATTACTTTGCCAACAAAGGTCCATCTAGTCAAGGCTATGGTTTTTCTGTGGTCATGTATGGATGTGAGAGTTGGACTGTGAAGAAAGCTGAGTGCCGAAAAATTGATGGTTTTGAACTGTGGTGTTGGAGAAGACTCTTGAGAGTCCCTTGGACTTCAAGGAGATCCAACCAGTCCATCCAGAAGGAGATCAGTCCTGGGTGTTCACTGGAAGGACTGATGCTGAAGCTGAAACTCCAATACTTTGGCCACCTCATGTGAAGAATTGACTCATTGGAAAAGACCCTGATGCTGGGAGGGATTGAGGGCAGGAGGAGAAAGGGACAACAGAGGATGAGATGGCTGGATGGCATCACCGACTCGATGGGCATGGGTTTGAGTAAGCTCCTGGAGTTGGTGATGGACAGGGAGGCCTGGCGTGCTGCAATTCATGGGGTTGCAAAGAGTCGGACATGGCTGAGCGACTGAACTGAACTGAACATGGGAAAAAAAAAGCAAACTATAAAAAATGCAAACATATGGAGGCTAAACAACATGCTTCTAAATAACCAACAGATCACTTGAAGAAATCAAAAAGGAAATAAAAATATACATATAAACAACTGATAATTAAAACACGACAAACCCAAACCTATGGGATTCAGTAAAAGCAGGGCTAAGAGGGAAGTTCATAACAATAGGTTTTTTAAAGTAGCTACAATTGTTCCCCACATTGTAGAGATGAGGAAACTGACTCAGAAGCGTTGAGCTGAGTTTACGTAGCTGGAAGAGGGCAGACTCAGGATGCTAGCTTGGGTCCATCTCGTGCTAAGTCGTGAACCCATCATCAGCTTGCTTCCTCCAGATTGTCAGTGAACTACTCTTCAAGTCTCCTGGCTGCCCTGGCACTGCTGTAGTCCTCTGTATTGGTGGTCATGGTTGGTCTTCTCCCCTTCAGGCCAAGAAAAGCCCCTTCTGCTTTCTATGAACAGCGTTCACACAGTCAAGCTTTATCCTAGGTGACCCAGCAACTTCTTGACCCTTGCCACTCAGAGTGGAGTCTGGGTCATGGCAGGCACTGGCATCATCTGGGAAAAGTGAAAGTGCCGACTCTCAGGCCCACCTACCCACCCTGGACTGTTGAATCAGAATCTGCATTTCCACAAGAATGCAGTTGGTTCCCTAGAGTTTGAGAAAGGATGCTTTATGCCTCATCCCTCTCCTGCTCAGAGCACATGCCTATATTCTGGGAGGGGAGGAGAGCTGATGGGGTGGGTGTCACAGTATCACATGCCTGTGAAATCATTGCTCCCTTGTAAACTGTTTCTTGGCTTTTTGATTGAGCCATACTGCCAAAGTTTTTCTTCATTTTGTTTTTTCTTCTTTTTTCAGGTGCCACAGTGTCTCTGTTGTTGGTCTGGCATGTTTGTGGAATCCCGTTCCATACGGTCTGATGCCAAAGTACACCAGCCCAAGGTTTCTTTTGTTCATCCCTGAACCTCATATAGACCTACCAGGTATCTTCAGGTATGATTCAGTGCTTCTGGACATGCCATGATAGAGAAGATTCCCACCCTTCCACATTCTAAGACAGCAGGAAGCTTATTTTCCCATGCTTATATCAGAACACATGCTAATTCCCACTCTAATTGCACTATTCATTCCCTGTAGATGGGAAGCAGATGGTTGTATACCAGCAAGCAGAGAGAAATGCAAGAATACACCGTTAATGCGCGCATTCGCTCCTGTTTCTTGTTCTTTTGTCTGCTCTCCGTGTTATGCCGGTCCCCCAGCAGCTCTGCTTGCCCCTCCACCATGGGTGACAGAATTAATATATTATACTTGTGTGATTACCTTCACTCCATTTCTGGGAGCTACTGCCAAAATCCAGACATCTAAAGAGCGTGATATGAATAGACTTTTCAGGGAAACCACAGTCGTATTTTCAAGCAATACATCAATGTTTATTCTGCTTCTTGAACAGCTTCTTAATTCTCATTGGAGTTTATTAGTCACCCTTGTTCTCAGTTGATTAAATTTGTTTCTAGTTGCCTCCAAGATTATATTGATAGATATTCCTCTTTACAATTTAAAAGGAACATTTTTGCAGCTGACAGAGTAAGACAGATGGAAAAAGTGAATGCCCCACACTGTATAGATCTGATTCATCTTCCTCCCATCTTCTTATTTATTTTTGCCGTGATTGGGAACCAAATGAACAGAGTGACATTGGGTTTTAGTCAGATAACTCCATTATTTTTGATTTATGGTTTCATATTTTTGAAAGCCAATACAATACAAGTAAAGATAAAAGTTAGCTGGTGTCATTTGTACAGTCACTCTATTTTATGAGTTAATTATTTTAGGGTACGTTATGACCAGCACAAATTAAAACAATATGGAGGGAAAGAAAAGGTATTTATTGTAAAAGTCTATTCTGGTTACATTTAACTGGTTCTCTTTAAATATGGACACTTCCAAGGAGTAGGAAATTTGTACGACATGCAATATGAGAGCAACGGGTGTGTTGAGCAATTTTTATTTCATTTGCAATTCTGTGTTGTTACTGGATCATACATAATCTTTGTAAGGTTGCAGGGAAGAGAAAAAAAAGCAAGCTTTTGTGGAATAATAAAAAGAAAAAAAACTTTTTTGGCTGTTCTTTGTGGTTTTATTGTCCATTTGAATCACATTCTCCAAGATTAGCTGCAGGATGGGCCATGTGGAGAGCCAGGCATGGGCTCAGCTGCATCTCCTGCATGACACCCCTTTGTTCTCGTACGTGGACACCCACTGCACAGATGTGAATGCGTGGACTCACCAACAAACACTGCAAACAGCCCCGAAGGTTGGAGTTGTAGACACAGGTCTGGTGCCCACATAAGCAGGGCTGCTGTCTCTGCTTGGCCCAAGTCACCGGCCACGGCAGCTTTGCTTGGAGAGCCCACATGTGTCATCGTGAGCAGGAAGCACTTATGCCTTTACAGATACTTTTCCGTCCAGGGATTGAGGAATCCCTTTCCCTCCGAAGTAGAAGAATTTAAATAATGTTTTCATAAGTTGCTTCTTGGGTGTTGCGTATATCACACAACATAACTTTCAGAAGGCAGTGTTTTATTCAATGCCCAGAGCGCGGTCGGCTCCTAAGGTCCCCGTAACCATCTGTCGGTCGGCTCCTAAGGTCCCCGTAACCATCTGTGGAAGAAGTGCATGCACAGGGATCAATGGCAGTATTTAACATTGTTGGGAAAGGGAGGGTCGGGATGCACGCAGCAACAGCAGTACATTGGGGAGCCTAAGTTCTGCCTTTTTAGGAGCCATGACGAGGAGTGTTTACCACTGCCTGCCTCCTAGGCGTGATGACGATGATCTAGGTGGTGCGTTAAATGCTGCAGACCTAGGAGATGAGCCACTCAGTCCAGTTCTGCTTGCTTAGTGCTTATTGTGTTTGCTACGGGCTGGGAGGAAACATCAGACCCTCTCAATGCCCTTTGTTAATTTTTTTACCGTTTTTGTGTTGTATTGGAGTAGAGCTGACTAGCAATGCCATGATAATCTCAGGCGGACAGCAAAGGGACGCAGCCACACATACATGTATCCATTCTTCCCCCAAGTCCCCCTGCCATCCCGGCCGCCTTGTAACGGAGAGCAGAGTTCCATGTACTGTACAGTGGGTCCTTGTTGGTTATCCATTTTACATATAGTAGTGTGTGCATCGACGCCCTTTATAATTACACCATTCCTCCGGTTGCTGTAGCTCTATATTCTCTTTCTCCACTGCTTCCCTCTTTCCTCAGTTCTCTCAGAGCAAGATGGATAACAGAGCCATCCTGGTTAGCTTGCGTGTGGTGGCAAGTTGCAGAAGAAGGCAAAGATGGTGAGTCCTGGGCTGCATCAAGCAGGATTACCCTAATGCAGTTGTGGACAGAATAGGACCTGGAAATATGATGTGTTTGTATGTGGAGCAAAAATAAAATAGAAGAATGAACTGAAGATCAATATCTGGGAGGTCTCAAGAGGTAATGACCAGAAATGGTTCAAAGACAGTGGTCTGAAGTCAGGTTTTCAGTAGAGGGTGATGGCAGATGTTTAGGGACAAGCGTGAGCATTTCAAATTGCCACGTACGGGTGGACACTACACTATTAACTGCTGGCACACGTGCAGTTGGGGTCTTTCTCCTATCAATGCACACTCTTCTCCCCTGGGTTTCCAGTGACATTCCCAATGCAGTGACGTTTCTCTCTCTTTTATTTTATATTGGAACATAGTTGATTAACAGTGTTGTGTTATTTCAGGTGTACATCAAAATGACTAATTTATACAAATACATGTCCCAATTCTTTTCCAAATTATCTTCCCATTTAGATTGTTAAAATAGTCAGCAGAGTTCCCTGTGTTATAAAGTAGGTCCTTACTGGTTATCTATTTTAAATATAGTAATGTATACATGACATGCTCTCTCTTGCTCCAGCCTCTTAATTAAAAAATATCCTTTATAATATTTTCTCCTCAGTGCTTCTCATCAATGCATAAATATTCTATCTAAGGTGACATCCAACTTTTTTTTTTTTTTGCTTAAAAATTACTTCTTGGACACCAAGATAAAGATTGACTCATTAGAAAGTCCATTTTCTTCCTATCCCTTTATATTAAAGTTATGGTAAAGGTGTAAAACTGAGATAAATTCACAAGAGCACAGAGGATAGGAGGAATGCCATCGCAGATAAAATGCTTGTATATTTCTGTAGTTCAAAGATGCATGAGTGGATGTTGTGTTATTTCAGGTGTACATCAAAATGACTAATTTATACAAATACATGTCCCAATTCTTTTCCAAATTATCTTCCCATTTAGATTGTTAAAATAGTCAGCAGAGTTCCCTGTGTTATAAAGTAGGTCCTTACTGGTTATCTATTTTAAATATAGTAATGTATACATGACATGCTCTCTCTTGCTCCAGTCTCTTAATTAAAAAATATCCTTTATAATATTTTCTCCTCAGTGCTTCTCATCAATGCATAAATATTCTATCTAAGGTGACATCCAACTTTTTTTTTTTTTTGCTTAAAAATTACTTCTTGGACACCAAGATAAAGATTGACTCATTAGAAAGTCCATTTTCTTCCTATCCCTTTATATTAAAGTTATGGTAAAGGTGTAAAACTGAGATAAATTCACAAGAGCACAGAGGATAGGAGGAATGCCATCGCAGATAAAATGCTTGTATATTTCTGTAGTTCAAAGATGCATGAGTGGTGCTTCCCCGGCGGTCCAGCAGCTCCCAATATAGGCTTCCTGGCTCCCGAGGCAGGAGTCCGGAGTTTGATCCTCGGTCAGACTAGATCCCACACCCTGCAGCGACGATTGAAGAACTCACCTGCTGCAACCAAGACGCGGAGCAGCCACATAAACGAAGGTTAAAAGGAGAGGGAGAGAATGAAGCCAACACATCCACACTTACCAAAAGCAAGCGGGAGGGTGACGGCACGGGGAAGTGAGCAGAGGAAGCCTCGGCCTAGCATACCCACCAGGGTGCTCCGAAGAGGTGCGGAGTCCTAGAGAAGAGTCGCTGTATGAAGCGCTGGCCCGTGGAGCGGGCAGCGGGCACAGCCGGTGTCTCCTCCCCGGCGCTCTGAGAAGCCTGCCATTGACAAGCCCGGCTCTGGTCCACACCGCTGCCAACCAGCCTCCCATCCGAGACTGGATACCCGCGGCCACAGGAAACGTGAGGACGGCCTGCGCCGAGCAAGAGAAAAGACCAGAATAAAGAGACTGGCAGGCTGACCACAGAGGACGATTTTATCATTCCGCTCCTATTCTCCAAGAAGATTTAAGGAAGTAGTGCCTCTGTAGAACAAGCATGGAATTATCTTTAAAAGTGAAGAGAGGGCTTCTAGAAATTAAAATAAGGATTCAAGAAATTCTTTTAAAAGTTAAAATTCCATAGAGGTTTTGAATAAGAAAAATTTATGATATCCCCGAATATAGTTAACCATATAAAATGGAATTTTGGCTTGCTACTATTATATCATAATAAATAACATATGAGTTAATTTAAAAGTAAAATAAGAAATACTTCAATTGTTTAAAGACAATTTAGGAGAAAATCTTTGTAACTTGGAGAAGAGGCGGATTTCTTAAATTAGAAACCCCTATTCTCATTATTTCTATGTCAAAGTAAATGCAATGAACAGTTTACTTGTGTTTCTAGATTTTCATATTCATGCAATGTATTTGTATGTATATAAACATATTTGCACCCACACTCTCCTCATATATATATCTTTCACTTTATTCAAAATATAGCACACTAGGTGTGTGTTGGGGGATTTGTTTATTGTTTTTTGTTTTACTTAATAACATTATTTGGGAATTTTTTTATGTTAATGTGTATTGATGAACCTCATTGTTTTCAGTGACTAAACAGTGTTCCAGCACTTAAGGATATTTAGGTAACTAGTCTCATATTAACTCACATTTATGTTGTTTCCAGTTCATAATGTTACAAACCAGTCTTCAATGAGCATCTTCATAAACACTTAATGGCAAATTTTTTAAAGTATATTCCCAGCTGTAGAATTGCTTTCTTACATCACTCTAAAATATGGTATTCATCATACTGTATTCCTGCTGCAGAATTTCAGAGGCCCTGTACCATCTGGAATAAGATGTTTAAACTCTAAAACCTGGCCGGCCACGCACTGCCTCCGTTTACTTTACTGTGAGCTTCCCTTTATGAGGCACCATGGACGTGTGATCAGGTGTCTCCTGAGCTCCCACCTGCTCACATCTCTGTCCCTAGGTCCCCTCCGAAAGTGACCGTGAGCGTCGCTCAGTCCTGGCTGACGCTTCGCGACCCCACGGACCGTAGCCCGCCAGGCTGCTCTGTCCGTGAGAGTTCTCCAGGCAAGAGTACTGGAGTGGGCAGTCTTTCCTTCTCCAGGGGATCTTCCCAACCCAGGGATCGAACCCAGGTCTCCCACACTGCAGGTGGATTCTTCACCATCTGAGCCACCAGGGAAGCCCCGGTCCCATCGAGGCCTTTGTGGCTTTTCAGTCCGTCCATTGCTTCTGAGCAGTAGAATGCTGGGAACTTGAAGTCAAGTAGACCAAACTTGATCCTGATTACCGCCCCAACCTCTGGACCCTGAACAAGTTTTTTAACTTGGCTGGACCTCAAATCTCTCATCTATAAATGAAGATAATAATGTTTCATAACACTGAATGAGATCATGCTTATAAAGTCTGGCATAAAGTGCCTAACGAATCCTAATTTGTCTTCTCTGTATATTCCTTTGGATTGAGAATAAATTCCACCTTAGCTGTAAAAATCACTCCCCTACCTTCCACCTTCCTTTTAGACTGTGTTAATTTCTCCTCCTGTGTTGCCTTTCAGCACTTCTTCTTGTCAGATACTTTCATTTCCTTTAATTAAAAAAAAATATTGACCTCTATTAAATGGTAAAAATCGTGTAAAGTGCTTCACTTAAGACTTGATACAAAGTAAGTGCTCTATAAATATTTCTGTGGCTGTTGCTGTTATTGCAAAGGCAACAGTCACCCATACCCCAGCGGTAACAGCACTTCCACTGATGACTTATGTTTG